AACGACGTTAGAATGACTAGGTTACTCTGAAAAATAAATAACTGGCATTTTAAATGGAGGTGTTCCTGTCACACTGTCACCCGGTCAGCTCTCGCCTGGAAGACAGTGTCCTGGACTGCAGCCCCGTGGGGGCCTGTGTGTTCTCCGGACTGAACCCACACGGCCATTTCTCCAGGCCCGTGCATGGCAGACCCCGTGGCAGGTGACAAGGATCTCCAGGACGTTAGCGCGTCTCGAGCGCCTCCTCTGAGATTCTTACTCTGCAGGCCAGACGGAGCCTCAGATGAGTCTTATCTTAGGTCAGTTGAGAACACGTCTGTACACTGACTGGTCTCCCAGCAGCGGGAAGGACCCCCACCTCCCAGCCCCCATCTTACTGTCAGGACCCAAGACTGACTGCGGCTGCCACAGTTCAGCTCCTGGCGGTCGCTGCACAGGAACGAACCCCACGTGTGCAGGAGAGGCTGCCTCCGTTTCAGCCAGAGAACTACCCGTAGGACTCTTGTGTGGCCCACGCCCGTTCCAGCGCCTGGGGACGAGGACAGCCGTCAGCGTCAGCATTCAGGGCCCTGGAACCCAGGGACTGCCCCTCCCATACTGAAGGTGGGGGGTGCCGTCCTGCTTCCTCTCCCCATCACGGCCGGCAGGTTGTCTGGAGGGCCGGCTCTGCCTGCCTGCAGGACCTGCACATCAGACCCCCTCTAACCCGCCTGGAGCTTACTTCCTGTAGGGTCCAGCCTCCTCCTCCTCTGGGTCCTTTGCATTGGAAGGAAGTGCGAAGTGCACACACACTCTAGAATTACACCAGTTCTTTAGTTGTCTTGACTTAGGAAGCAAGTTATCACCATTCATTCCTACCTGGGCATGGAGTACCGTGATCAGAGTGGCCGGCTGAGAGTGACTGATGAAGTGGAGGAGAAGTGGTTTGGCAGTGCTGTGATAAAAGAAGGGAGAGAAAAAGAAGGCAGTGCTGTGAAGGGAAAGAGAGGGAGAGAAACATCAGTGTGTGGTTGCCTCTCACACGCCCCCTACTGGGTCCATGGCCTGCAACCCAGGCATGTGCTCTGACTGGGAATCAAACTGGTGATGCTTCGGTTCACAGGCCTACACTCAATCCACTAAACCACACCAGGCAGGGCTCATTGGCTGATTCTTGTATGTGCCCTGACAAAGTATCAAACCCACAACCTTGGTATATCGGGATGACATTACCAACTGAGCTACCCGGTCAGAGAATTATTTATTTTCATGAGAGTAATTTAATTTAACCAAATTAGCCAGTGCTGCTAACAAAGGATGCAAGTTGTTCTTTCCCTGGATCATACTTTTCTGATTGGCTTTCTTCTGCTCATGGCAGATGTGGAAAGAGCTCAGCAGCACATTTTGCTCTGCACGTAACTTCTTATCCCAGCAAGGAAAGCAAAATAGGATAGATTTTTGTCTCACCCTAATTGAGACCATTAGCTACATAAGACTAAAGTGCTGTGATTTAAGGAAGAGGTGGGAGGTGGGGGAAGAAAAGGGAAATCGGGCTACCCTTACCTGGTCACTCATGTGTCACTGCCCTGCAGTGAATAAAGAAGGTGTCGTTGTGAATCCCTTTGGACCCTGTCCTGGTGCTTGGGAAGGGCCCCTCCCTACAGGGAACCGAGGGTCGGCTCCGGGAGATGAGCCTGCATGCCAGCAAGCTTCGGGCTCCTGCCGGACGCCCGCCACCCAGGACGGTGAGGCCTCCTCTCCTGGGCTTCTCCGAAGGACAGGCTGCCAGTTAGCAGCCTCTGGCTTCTTTCACTGATTTGTGTAAAGCGTACGGAGCCAGCTCTTTTGCTTTGTACAATTCACCATCACTCTCTGTAGTGAAACTCTAACTTTGTTAGATTGTTCTAGTCACTGGGAGGAATAATCAGCAGGGGAGCTGAGGTTCTGAGATGTAAACTCTCATTGATTATTTGAGGGACAGACGGAGCAAGGGAGCGTCCTACCAGGCCGCCCATCACCTCCAGTTCTCCGGGTGTCTGCTTCCTTTCCTCCCCTTCACCATGTGCGCTAGTGCCCCCTGGTTTCCAGCAATACCGATAGTAACCAAAATGCCTTTGAGAAAAGTTAGTGTCAGGTCCTCTCGAAAAGACACAGAGCAACAGATGGTGGCATGGTCGGTCTAGGTCATGACTCTCCACTGTCGGGGCAGGTGGTGTGCCTGGGAGATGCCAAGCACCTTTGCAAGGTTGGCCTGACACCGTCCACCTCTGCCCTCCTCCCGTGATATGGGCAGCGATGGACTCAGCAGAGACCTCGTGTCGCCCACAGGCCAAATGACATGGCTCAGATTTTATAGTTTCCTTAAATGGGATTTTTTTTATGCCTCACTTGTTTATATACTCGACTGCATCAAAAGAAAACAGGAGTTTTTCATTGATTGTGTTTGCAACGTTGGGAAGCATCAGAAGTTGGATGCTTTACTCTGGTGGAAAGGGAAGGGAGAAGCAAAATAAGGGGCAGGTAGAAAGCAAACACAGCCCCCTCCCTGTCTGCTGGGACGAGGCTCGGGAAGGCAGAAGACCGGACCCAGAGCGGACCCTCGTCTCAGAGAGCTGGCTGCTTCCTCCATTCACAGCAGGGTGCTGGAGTCTCCCTCTCTACTGTTTACCAGGTGGAGTCAAATATATATGCAGATATATTTAAATCCAGTTGTCATATGTGGTTACGGCAAAAGAAAAATAGTCACTTTTGCAAATTAAGTCAATACAAGTGGGGAATTTAGGTATCTGACTGAAGTAGGAGAATGAATAACTCCTTCCCAGCTTCCGAGCGTGAGCAAGCGGAACCTTAGTCCCAGTAAAGTTCCAAGACTGTAAATCACCCACCTTTGACCAAAACTGTTCCTAAGGAAGACAGGTGGCAGATGTGAGGAAGGACTGCAGTGGTCGTCACATCATCCCAGTGTGGCCCTTACTCACCTCAGTGCGTCATTATTGGCATAGATGGCGTGACCGTTGGTGTGATAACTCACTGAGTGCAAGGTTTTTTCTGCATGTTTATTTCCAGCACTCACGCAGATGCTGGGACACAAGGACACTCAGGGTTCCGGAGCAGGGGGTGGGGGAAGCGGGTCATTATAATGGACTTGTAACCATGCACCTGGAGATTTTAATTGGCTAGCCTTCCTGGCTCACCGGCCAGCACTGTCTCCAACAGATTTCGGCCATTTCCCGCTCCCTGTTCTCAGGGTTCCTCGGTCTCCTTCCATCCCTGCCTCTGCCTGCTGCTACCTGGCTGCTTCTTCCACCTGAAACTCAACAGAGCCCTCAAGCTGTCACATTAAGTAAAAGACAAAGTGTAAATCCTCATCTCCGTAGGTGGGACTGTGAAATCAGACCGTGCTGAACACACGGCTCTTCTGGCAGCCCTTCCCACATTTCTCCTTTCCCCTCTCTGGCTGCCATCTTTCTCTACCTCCACGATGGCCAACTGCCTCTCTTGCTGTTTTCTACCAGCTGTCAGAATTGGAAGGACTTTAAAAGCATATTTTTCACTATTAATATTTCCTGGTTCACCTTGATAGTTCCGCAAATGAGATTTTTCAACCCAGAAAATGCCCCTGCAATCCAGATGACTGCAGGCATCCCCGTTCCATGTATCGAGCTTGTCATCCTTCCTTTGGCCTGCCCTCAACCTCTCATCCCCCTGTTACCGCCCTCGGCGCAGCGCCTCACTGTCCTGACAGTCACTCAGGCCAGAGCCTAGGATTAGCCCACGGGACTTTCCTTCTGCCTTCGCCACCGCCCTCACCCAGCAATCCCAAACCGGCCACACCTCCTGGAGTTTCCCTCCCTTTCCCTTCCTACTGCTGTTTATTATCTCTCCCTGTACCCAGCCAGGAGCAGCACCTGTGGACACTCTGACTTCGTCCCCCAGAAATCTGCCTTTGTCTAACTATCTCTTGTAAACTGTGAGTTTAATCATAATCCCCAGCTTAAAATTCTAAATCTGTTTCCCTTGATTTACAGGAGGAAGTTCAACCTTCTTAAATAGGGGAGAAACAAACACTGTAAAGCAAGAATAAACCCGTGCAAAATAACTTCTTATGTGGCCCTTACCTACTATTTATTACCACCCACTCTTGCACCCCTTGCAGGCGTATCCCGATGGCCCTGTTCCACTGCACATGTACACACTTCTACGTCCACTTTCCACGTAGAACTGCATCATCCTGCAGCCTTTGCCCCAGGCCTTTACCTCTCACATCCTTGTCTACCTGGTGACCCCCACTCAGCCTTCCAGACGTAGCAGCCTTTCTGGGGACCCTCCCTCCGTGACCCTCACCCATCCTCCTCTGTATCGTGGTACTTACTGACACGTGCTCTCAGTCTGAATTGCTTTCCTCCACTGAAGGAGCGAGCGAGTGAGTGAGTGAGTGATAAGCCAAACAGTAAAGGAAAGTCCACTGTATATAAAGAGCATTGTACGATGTCCTGGAAGACACGCGTCAGACTCTGGCTCGGGAGCTCATCTGCTGTGCGATTGAAAGACTCGCTTCGCCTTTCCCCACCCGAGTCCCTTACCTGTACGGGGAGGAGGTCACACTAAAACACAGTGGAGGTCCACACGCCGCTCTAGCATTCTGTAGCCTCCGTGACTGTCATTTCACAGAAAAGCATGAGTGGTCGTGCGCTTGGCCGTGTACTGCAGAATCACTGTGCCGCAGCGTGCCTTCCTGCGCACACGCTCTGTCCCAGCCCTTTCCACGCGCGCTCCTGACTGTCAATGTTTCTTACCAGGAAAGAGGTGCATATCCTGCCGAGACCATTTGGGCTTACAGTCCCCTCTGCTATTTTTAATTAAATACTCCTCTCATGGAGGTACATTTGCTTTTCAGAGGAGGGATAAGCGCCATTCGGTCTCACCGAGAGCAGCGCCGCTCCTGGGGGAGGTGGGGGGAGTGACAGGCTCTCCTGGCCCCTTGCTGGCCCCGTCTCAGCACGCCTCTCCCTCTCTCGCAGATGGAAGTCCTTACACCTGGTGGGTTGGCAAAGCCAACGAGAAGCACTACTACTGGGGAGGCTCCGCGCCCGGAGTTCAGAAGTGCGCCTGCGGCATCGAGCGCAACTGCACGGACCCCAAGTACTACTGCAACTGCGACGCGGACTACAAGCAGTGGTGAGTGCCGCGCCGCACGCACGCACGCACGCAGTCACGCTCGCACGCAGTCACGCACGCACGCTCGGTGTGCGTGCTGCTTGGTCCAACCAGTGAGAGAGGAGGAAAGTTCGGGAAGCGCTGAAATGATGCGAAAATGGGCTAGGAAGGTCGGGAACTCACTCAGTTGACAAATGCGAGGAGTGTTTTGAAAAACATAAAAGCAGAAAGAGGTCAGGGCTTCAAGGGTGAGCATCTAGAAGTAGATGGACTGTAGTTGATGTGTTCATATATTATCCAGAGGGGAAAATAGTGAGCCCGGTAGTGGGCAGTAGTTTGCATAGTTCAGTGTGCTTTGGGACAGTGGAGGGGACAGCGGAGGGGACAGCCTGTGGCCAGGAGGCCACGTGCAGGTGAGTGAGAGCATTTGCAGCGACAGTCTCCAATGGTCAGTGCGTCACCTCCTGCAACATTTGCTTTCAGTGGCTGGACATGAAAAGGAGGGGGGTGTGGGAGGGAAAGGAAAACTGTTCTTCGCTCTTGCCTTCAATGACGGTGCTTGCTCTTCCGCGTCCTTTCATGCCTTTCGCTGTGTCTAACTCTGATAGAAATCGGTTCAAGAGGGTCTATTTTGGGCTTCTTTCATCCATCTACTGGCTTTTGTACTGCTTCACGTGAATGGCTGGGCCTCCGTCAAAAGCAAAGATAAAATCAGCTGCCCCTCTGTGTGAAAACAAGAGGCCCCGTAAGTTGAGGTGGGAAAACTCAAACCTCAATGTGGCCCTTCCCTGAAGCACACGCCCTGCACCCGTCAGAGACGTGGGGGTTCTCGGCCCCCTCCCCGCCTCCGGCATCGCAGCAGACCACAGCCCTGCTGTTTCCGCGTGTGGCCAACCACAGTGTACTGCGGTCGCCTCGGTTTTACTCTCTTTAGAAAGCAATGTGAAGTTTATTCCTTTTTTAAAAATTTTATTTAGCTATTTTTCAAGTACAGTTTTCTGTCTATTTCTCCCATCCCACCCCGTGCTCCCCACCTCCCTCCCATTTCCACCCCCCTTAGTTCTCGTCCCTGCGTCCTTCATACTTGTTCCTCCTTGTTCATACAAATCCCTCCTCTTTTTTCCCCTTAAATTCCCTCCCTTCTCCCCTCTGGTCACTGTCCTCTTGTTCTCTATTTCAGTGTCTTTGTTTTTATTTTGCTTGCTTGTTTAAGTTTATACCTTTTTAACTGAAAACTAATTCTGACTATAAAGTTACATAATTTTGGTAGGATGTCCAACTGTCTTTCAAAAGCCACATTTAAAAGTTTTTATAGTAAATTCATTACCAAGGCTATATATTTTGCAGCAGCTTAGAATTTCTGTGTGTGTGTGTGTGTCTGTGTAAATAGCTATTATTCTTTAACTGCGGTTTTTTGTAAAGAGAAAATCGTGATACTCAGTTTTTTGTTGTGTTTGAAAGGTGTGCGTGCATACACACATCTGTACCAAGACTGGAAATCAGGAAAATGGAATCAAAAGGACATTGAAATGAACTTAACTTTTTCATTCATATCATCACTCAACAAATACAGACAGGATTCAGCAAGGGTGGGGTAAAGGAGTGAACGATGATAACAAGAACCCCTGCCCTGGTTTATGTCCTGTTGACAGTGTTTTCAGTTGTGTGTCCTCACCCAAGTTCCAAGACTCTCTCAGATTCTTTAGTGACTCACGGCCGCTTCGGGAAACTGACGCTGGGTGCAGCCTCCCAACCACAAGTGTGAGCTCTGCCCAGATGGCCCACAGTCCAGGCAGCCCACGGCACTCAGCTCTTCTCGCCCAACACAGAGGAGAGCTGAGATATTCAGGAAAGGGAGGTCTAGTGCATACAGTCAAGTGAAGTTCACTTCCGTCAGACACCATGCTAAATGCTGGCGACACCGTGAGCGACAGGGGGGCGCTCTTTGTCCTCAAGGTGCTCGCAGATACACGACGTGGTGCCACCAGTGCTCTGATGAAGCAGTGCAGCGTGACAGCAAAACCAGCGAAGGGGAAATACGGTCTCACCGCAGGGGCAGAGGCAGGAGCCAGGAGGGCCCTGACAGGAAGGGATGCTGGGAGGGCAGGAGTTGGCCAGCCACAGTCTTCCTTGCAAGGTGCTCTTAGAGGGGAGGCGTGGACCAGCATGATCAGTTTGGGGCTGTCTGTGCAGTAGCAGCTCTGGAGTGTGACGTGGGGGAGGAAGGAGAACCACAGGAGGGCTAAGCGTGGAGGAGGTAGAACACTGGAGCTTCCATTCTTTTTTGGGTGGTGTGGGTTTGTACTATGACAGTGAGTCCCATGGGGCAGGCTTGGTGGACGAGGCGAGGGGAGCGAGGGGATGTCGTTGAAAGGCTAGACCTGGGGAAGAGAAAACATAGCCATGACCCGTGTGGCTCGGTAGGTTGGGTGTCATCCCACAAAGCAGAAGGTCATCAGCTCCATTCCAGTCAGGGCACATGCCTGGGTTGCAGGTTCAGTCTTCGGTCGGGACATGTCCAAGAGGCAACTGATTGGCGTTTCTCTTTCACATCAGTGCTTCTCTGCATCGCTTTCTCCTTCCCTTCCCCTCTCTAAAAACAAATCACATCTTTTTTAAAAAGAAGAGAAAATACATAGGGGACATTTTAAAAGTGGTCTCTATAGGACTTGATAGTTAGGACTACCGAAGAAGGAAGAGGAGACGGGTCAGCCCTCCCTTGGGCACCCAGAAATGGACTGGCAGCCGGTCACGGGTCAGCTGAGGAGTACAGCCAGGCCGCGGTAGACGGTGAGTTTGGCTTTGAACATACTAAGTGTGAGGCACCAGCATCTCATCTCATCTAAACCCAGAGGGATGCTGGTAGTGGAGTTACTGATGAGAAATAAAGATTTTAGAGAAATGCGTTTGCATCTGAAAACATGTCCAAGAACCCACCTGAATTCAGACCACAGGTGGGAAGCAGCCTCACTCCCGCGCACGCCCCTCTGGCTCCATCTGACTGGACCAGAGCTGTGCTCAGTGACTCAGGGACTCGGGCTGTGCTGGTGCCTGTTTCCTTCTGCTGAGTCCCAGTCCCCACGCCCTCCCCCCTTTGCTTCTATAAAGTTCCTCTCCTGTCTCATAACAGAGACATCGTATTTTGAGCAAACTGAAAAGCATAATGAATATATTTACAATAAGTAGCTATTAAAATGATCTCCCCTATTTGGCACAAGAAAGAAAGCTTTCAGTGACATCTTATCGGTCTTTGAATTCACCAGCACCTGGCGAAGGACCCGCCCTGTGGGTGCTTTCTGTGTTTTGGAATGAACGGTGGTTTCTAAAGGTGCGTTCCAGAAACTGCCGGGAGCAGTGGAGAAAGAGCTGAACTGGAGCTGAGAGACTTTACATCCAGGCCCAGGCTCGCTGTTATGGGGAAGCTTTTAAGCAGTCGGAAACTAAGGTTTATTGTCTGCACAATAAAAAGAAATCTTGATTTGCCAAATTTGGGGCAGAATTACATAGAATATAGAATATGAAAATATCCTGTAAATTGTGCAGTAGGAGATACATAGCTGTTTGCAATTCCTAATTATGTCATTTTCCTTGCAAATTTTAATGATTCCAAGTGAATCTTAAGAAATGAAAACAGCCCTGGCCAGTGTGGCTTGGTTGGTTTGGAGCCTCATCCCAGAGACCAGAGGGTCACAGGTTCGATTCCTGGTCAGGGCACATGCCCAGATTGTGGATTCAGTCCCCAGTCAGGACGTGTAACGGAAGGCAACCCATTGATGTTTCTCCCTCTTTCCCTTCCTCGCTATCTAAAAGCAATGAAAAAAATATCCTCAGGGAGGATCTAAAAAAAAAAATGAACACAGACTGTGGAAAGTGGGTTCCCTCCTGTTTGCCACCTGTCACGCAGCAGGCCTCAGGTCGAAGCACCCCACATGGCAGCAGTGGGGGTCGGGAGAACCCTACAGATCAGGGATCACCCCGGAAAGAGAACCGAATGTACTGATGAGGGCGTGTGTTCCAGGGAACCCCTCGCTTCTCTTACTGCCCTCAGAGCGAGAAGGACAGCGGTTCTGTTGGAGGGGAAGTCAGCCGCAGGGCGCCAGGCCGGCTGGCGAGCGGTGGTGAGCCGTCCACAGCGTCGTCGGGAGTCCTGGGGAGGGGGGGAGCCAGGCCCCTGCAGGAGGCTGACTTTGGTCGCAGCCTCCCCGATTGGAAGTGGGGGGCACCTCCCAGGTGGTCTAGGCAACCCAGAGCACATGCTCCCACGGTCACTGCTTTCAAGTCTTTCTGTCCCTCCCAGGGGGGCGAGCGGAGTCAGGACAAGGAAAATCTAGGGCAGAAATCCCGGTGCTCCCACACAGGAGAAGCCACCTTGTTGTGACATAAACTTAAAAATAAAGGTCCTCTGGAATCTCGTGCTTTCAGATGCTGTGTCCAGTGGAGAAAGGTACCTCTTCCAGTAATCTTACCGTAATCACAGTGCATCACGGGAGGCCAGAGGCCCGAGACCCAAACGGGTGCAGACTTCCCCCACAGCACTTCCCCCTGCGTGGGCCAAGGCAGTGTTGGACTGCTCCGAGTTTTCGTGTCAGCGAGACACGACACAGGCAGACAGCGCTTCTCAGTTCATGTTGAGATTGGGAAAAGCGCCGTCGGAAATGAGTGTTTAAAATTATGGGAGGGCATGTTACTTTTACTTTTTAGAGTTGAATGGAACTCAAGCTAAAATCATTAAAATTTTCTTAAATTACAGATGTGTATATTGGGGCACGGGAAAATTTTAATTACTGTTTAAAAATTATATTATTTCAAAAAAATGAGGTGCAGAGAGAAGGCTGAGACCCAGGTTTTCCAGACTTCTGGCCCCGCGGTTTTCTATGATGTCATGGTCTAGAAAGAGCATTCATACTGGCTTTATCTTTTTAATGATTCATGAATTTAATATTTTAACTAGCTAAATGTAAGTGTTAAAATTTAAAGCTTAAACAATAGACCCCATGTTTTATGTCCTGTTTTAAAGAACA